AAGTAAAGATAAGTATTTATATTTGTGTACAAGCTGTTTAGATTGTCAAAAAGCCTGTGTTTTTAGGGTTATTAATGAAGTTCATGTACTCAGACAAGTAATATTTGGGGTCACATGTGTTTGCCATGAATATTTTGTGGGTCAGAAGATAAAAAGTTTGGAAACCACTGCTCTTGTGTACATACCTCATTGGTAACAGAAACGAAACCAGTTTTATGGTAAAATGGCTTGCCATACTTTAACCGCGGAACTCTGACGTCGGATCCGCTGACGTAAGGCGCTGGCGCACAGCGGAAGTGAGTGTTTATCAGCGGACATGGCGTGTGTGTTAGCTGGCAGGACGAATTCAAAGATGTTTTCTTCACCAGGACGAACTGAACGCCGCTCCTGGATCTTTGTTTTCTTTCTGGTGATGTGTGGGACGTCGATACCAGTTTTGGCCAAGCCGGAAAGTCTGAGAGAAGTGACGGACGGGGACTGGGAGAAAATCCTGACAGGAGAATGGATGATTGAATTGTCAGTGTCCGGCTAATGCCGCTAACTYACTGCTAATTCCGATAGTTCTACTTTTATTTAGGCGGGTTGTAATCTGAGCGTCAGTCCCCACGTTAGATTAAAGACTTCCTGTTTTACTGATACATTTCGTTTAGTTTCATTTTGTCCAGTTTCACTGTGTAAAGTATTAATTTGATTAGCTCCCATGCTATTACCAGATTGTTTTGAGCTAGTCAGTGAGTTTGTTAACTTAGATACTCATGAAAATCTGCACCTGGCTGTAGGATACTGAGGTTTGAACTTTTTTTTTTTAATCTCCCAGCTATGCGCCCTGGTGTCCGGCCTGTCAGCAGCTGCAGCCGGTGTGGAAGGAGTTTGCAGACTGGGGGGAGGACATGGGAATCAACGTAGCCAAGGTGGATGTGACAGAACAACCTGGTAGGCCTGAAACACCTCTGTTTAGTCACAATAAAAACACGCTCCCCAGTTAACTCAGTGACTTTTATAAAGTCTACCTAGTTTCTCTGACTCATTGGGCCTCATGCAAGAACAGTTCGTACACACAGATTTGTTCTTAAGTTGTGCGTACGAATGATTTAGGAGAATTTGTGGCATTCATCAATGTTTTCGTAGGGATGTGGATAAATTTTTAATCCTACATCAATATTAAATCTGACAGCGGATTCCAAAAGAACATTTCAAACCATACAAAATAACACCAAAATCATATGATTATCTGAAGTTATTAATGTTTGTTCAGGTGAAATCAGATCATGTTTTCTTGCTGCCGTTCACAGCAGAACCAATGTGTGACCATTTCACCTTGTTTTCTATTTTTGCTCATAACTTCCTCAGTGTTCAAGATATCACCATGAAATTTTAGGAAAAGATTCCCATTCTGGTTTTGTAGGAAGCATCTTGTATCCTAAAAAACTAATAAAACTTAATAATAGTCAATTCAAAAGTAGCAGAAAAGGAATAAAATAACATTACAAGGCAAACTGTAGCATCAAATCAACTTAATGTGTCTTAGAAAGTAAGGAAATTAAAACAATTTAAAAACAATGTGGACATGTGTTTTGTAAACAAAGCTCCTCAACCAATGACAGCGTGTTAAATGTGTCAGGTGACGAAGACGAGCATCAAAACACTTTGCAACAAGAAAAAAAAACATACTTGGACGTTTCAAATC